TAAGAGGCTAGGTATTTCGTAGACTGTTTCTTTAAAATGTGCTACTAGAGATACATTTTTAAGAGGAAAAAAAATGTTCTTAATCATTGCAGAAGAAATCATTGTGTTACCATTAAGACTGGTGTGTTTAAACAGAATATTTTAAATTGCTTCTAGAAAGTTTCTTATTTTATAATTGGTTTCAGGAAGTGCTGTTGGAATTAGTTTTGCTAGTAGGGAGGCACAATTTCTTTTCTTTTTTTTTTTTTTTAAAGATTTTATTTATTTATCCATGAGAGAAAGAGAAGCAGAGGGAGAAGCAGGCTCCTAAGGAGCAGGGAGCCCTATGCGGGACTCGATCCCAGGACCCCGGAATCATGACCTGAGCCGAAGGCAGTCGCCCAACCAACTGAGCCACCCAGGCGCCCGGGAGGCACAATTTCTGCTTTCATTTTGAGGCTTATTATTATCTTATTGTCAGAATTAACTCTAAATGTCTCTGTTTTTATATAACAAAAACAAATTTTTTGAAATTGTGATGATCTGGCCACTTGTTACCTTTCCTGATTTGTAGCATTGTTGTTCTCAGCAATAATACCATGGCAGCTCGGGACGTCTGGTGGCTCAGTCCCAGGACCCTGGGATCATGACCTGAGCCGAAGGCAGACACCTAACCAACTGAGCCACCTGTTCGTTCATTTGTTTTTTAAAAAAACACCCATTGAGCATCTTGTCTGCTCCAGGATCTGTAGTAGGATAGAGAGTTGACTGGCTAGCAGCAGCCGCGCTGTCACCCTCACTCCAGTAGAAGAAAAGGACCTGAAAACAACTGACCTGATGGGAGTCTTTAGACGTCTTAAATGCACTGAAAAAGTTACAGTGTGCTCCCTGTCTATACCCTTTCAGATGTAAATAAGTATAAAGTCCAATATAATTATGATTATGTCCCTCAAGGGTTACATTTATTGGAGCAGGGAGGCTAAATATTTTTCTAAAATTTTCTCTCATTTATTTTACTTTATTGCCCCAGCTTTCTTGGTGCCCTAAGGATGGGCTGAGTTTATCTCCTGGTCAGTAACCAACCTTAAGAGCACCTGAAAGTGTTAGCAAAATGGAGAGGAAGTCCAGCGGCCTGAGCGGGCATCCCACGGTTAGCCATCAGTTTTATTGAGACATTAGCATTGAATATTGCGTGGAAGCTCACTTGGGTTTAACTTGAGGGACTGAAAATGGAGACAAATGTGTGTGAATTTAATGGATGACTCTCTTAGCACATTGACCACATTCTGGAAGAATACATCTGGAGAAAAAAATATTTTATAATCAAGTGTTTGTAGAGTCTGCTGCCTTTTCCCTGAACTAAATTTGTCAACATTAAGTGTTTCATGGCCATGAGTAACTGTATTTTCACTGAAGTTTTGAGATCTATTTACACCAACTAGAAGACTCAAAATGGTTTTGTTGTTGTTCTATAAAGTATTGGATGGGTCCTGCTCAAGTTTCAGATTACAGACACCACCCAAACTCAACAACCTGCAAGTTTTGATAGTTGACTTTATGGCTAAGGACCAGCACTATCTTAGCCCGCTTTACTTCCATCGCCGGTATAAGTGGCTGACAATGGGGGGCGGGGGACTGGGGTGGAAGGGACGCTTCCACCCACTTACAATAAAACAAAATTTAAAATCACTTAACGAACTTCACTGTTTAGCCAAATTAAAAAAAAAGAAGTCTGTTGGCGATGTTTTGTACTGGAGTGGATGCAGCTATTGGCTATATTGACTTACCAGGTAAGGGACCTCTGGCCCGCATATTTAAAAAGGACAGGTAATTCCAATTCAAATGTGAGTCAAAGCAAGATTTAAAATAGAGTGCTATGCTGTATAGATCTTCTAGTTCTTTTAGCCAAAATATTAAATCCTGTAGATGTCTCAGTTTCCCCACTGTTCACTTGCTAAAGCAGGCCCAGAACTGGTTTCTGAGGAAAACACAGGCTTTCTCACAAATATGCCTTTAGCTTATCTCCATGTTGAGTTAGAACAGCCGTAGGCTCACCTCCCTGCTACACCAGGGTGCCTTCTATTCAGCTGTGTGGCCTGGCTGCATCATTTGATTTTTATAACCATGCATTTGCCTTTATAACCATGTCTTTCCTTCTGCATACCTGTTCCTATGCATAATAAGCAGCCCTCATGGGAACCTGAACTTGGGTTCTCACCGAAGACTTCTAATTCAGACCCATTGCTGCCCAATTTTTATCAAATCCTATCTGGTGAAAATACTGCTCATGGAGGGTTGTCCAAGAATATACATCCACATGTCTCTCTGAACAATCTACATTTTAAATCTGATTTTTAATCCTGAATCATCCAGATGATTAGAGAGATAAGGAATTCCCTGGGATCATTTTAGCTGCTCATAGATTGCTCTCAGTGATTCTACACCAGCATTGCCCTTTAACCCTATAGTAGGAAATAAATTCTCAGAAGTCACTGTTCTGTTTATTGTAAAGATACTGTTAAAGGCTTTGACCACCACATGTCATATATCGTCTCCTTTTTGAAGACCTTGATGAGAAATTTCTCTAGGTCTCAGTCTATTTTTATTTTATAGACATGGTCAATTTCCTAAATGTTTGTGTTCCTTCTTTGCTTTGCCTGGCAGGAAGCCCAAAACCTCATACACAGCCCATGTCCAGCACTGTACGGGAATCTTTTTTTTTTTTTTAAAGATTTTATTTATTTATTTGAGACAGAGAGCATGAGAGGGAGGAGGGTCAGAGGGAGAAGCAGACTCCCTGCTGAGCAGGGAGCCCGATGCAGGACTCGATCCCAGGACTCCAGGATCATGACCTGAGCCGAAGGCAGTCGCTTAACCAACTGAGCCACCCAGGAGCCCTGTACGGGAATCTTAAAGCATGTGCTAAATTTGCTCCAGACTTTATTTCCCCTGTGACCAATTTCTTCATTTTTCATTTTGTATCTTGTTTTATATGTAAGTTTGTAAGCTGCTCAAATCTTCTTAAGAACAAGATGAGAGTATGAATCAGAGTTTCTCAGCCTCGACACTGTTGGGCCAAATAATTTATTGTTGGCTCAATGGGGGATTAAATGGGGAGTTTGGAGGAAAGAATGGGAGGTGCGTCCTTGACCTCTATCCACTAGCTGTCAATAGTAGTTCCTGGTACTGGGAAGGTACCTTTCACTTGATAGATTTATCTCCTGCTTTTAGAGAAGAAGGGCAAGAAAAAGAGGTAAAAATGACCTTCCAGCTTCTGCCATTTTCTCAAAGTCCTTCAGCTTAATAACATTCAACATGCCAAGCTGCCATATTTTAGGGTAGTGTATCCTGAACCCCAATACTTAGTATTTTCTAGGATACGTGCAACTCACTGTTTTGGGGGGACCCAGATGACTGAAGCCCACTTTCACCCTCAGAAAAACCTGCAAACAAACAAAAAAAGAAAACAAAATAAAAATAAAAGTGCTCAGTTTGCACATCTCTGTATCTCATATCTCAAGTTAATGTAGCTTCTGAGGGCTTTCCTGATGACCCTTGGGAAAAGGAAGTGGAGATACTATTATTGGCATTTAGACAAAAAAGGCACAGAGGTAGCCAAGTACCTAGTGTAGCTAGTGCCCAGTGTGCTGACTCCCACGTCCAGCAGGCTCTCCACCATATCATGAGAGTGTTGAAAAAGTTGAGCAGGAAGACAGGCAAATCCAACTTGGAGGATTAAGAATGGCTTCATGGAGGAGGTGGCATTTGAGATGAGATGTTAACAGGTAAGTAGGTAAACAAGGGACAAGAGCTCAGGGCAGGAATTCTTGCAGACTGGTGAGCACTGTGGCCTGACTGGATAGATAAGGGAAGGAAATGGTAAAGGACTGAAAAAATAGGGTGGGTCCTTTTCTGAGGGCACCCTGAAATGGTTCAGAGGTGAACAGGCATTCTTCCCTGAGAGCCATGTATGCCTGACAGCAGATTAACAAACTTTAAGAAAAAAGTAGCAGAGAAGCTGAATTAATTAGGTCACCAGAGAGACTAGTGATGGTAGAAGGATGAGAGACCTAGGAGGATCCAATGTATCCTGTGCTCTTTATCCCCAACCCTTGCCCCAGTTAAACGTTTTAGTGAGCAAAAATCTTTACTTCCTTAATGAAAGTAGGATAAAGGACTCTCTGGTGTCAGAAAAATTCCCAGTCGAGCACTATCAAATATGCAAATACTCCTGAGAGGGCTCCTAATTTAAGGATAACCAAGGACGAGCACCATTTTTAACAAAAGGGGAAATGTTTTGGAGTAGCTTTTTGGTTATAGAAATTATTTAGCTTCAATTAGGAAATGCCATAACTTCAATTACACACAATTGACTTTAAATTTACATATAACATAGTTTTCATTGTTTTGGCTAAATTTTTCAGAAAATGATGTGATTGGTGGTACATTAGTCAAGGATCCTATTGTGATACAGGCAATGCAGGGCTCTGTAGGTGATCCTGATAACTGGCTCCAGAGGCAGATCAGGCTCAGGACTAGCAGCAGGCCTGCTTTGGCGCTTCTGGGTGCTGGAGAAGCTCAAAGAGGGAGATTTTTGGGGAGGAGCAGGATCTGAGTGTGTCTGAGGAGAGAGGGAAGCCTAGAAGCCAGATACTGGTAAGTGAGGAAACTCTTTTCCAATCCAAGTCTGTAAGGAGAAGGGATATATCCTCAGCTAAGGCCTAATGTGAGGGCTTCACTAAGTTGGGCAGAATGCCCTCCTGCCACCACTCCATCACCCTGGACAGTGACCAGAGGCTTTTTGTTTCCAGATATTATTTAGCTTAAATTAAGAAATGTCATCCTTTCAACTATGCATAATCATTTTTAAATTTCCTTATAACTGAGAGTTTTCAGGGTTTGGCTAAAATTTCAGAAATGACTTTGTAGGAGGGAAAAAATCATTTACCCTCTACCCTTCTAAGTTCTCAACTAGGGCCCCTGAAAGAAAAGACAGATTAAGAAGAGAAAAACAGAAGTTGATTACACATGTATCTCATATACATGGGAGATATGCAGGAAAATGAGTAACTTTCAGAGGTGGCTTAGAATTCAGGCTTAAACACCAGCTTCAGCTAAAGGCACTAGAGAGAAAGTGTGGGGGAAGCCAGTTATGCGGAGGGGAGCAGGAAAATAAGGGTAAGATTTGCTATGCAGATTTAATTCCATAAGTCTTAACATTGATTAGAGTCCCTTGTGGTATAAAGTCATCCCTCTCTTCCTGATAGGAGAGTGGGACACTTACAAATGGAAATTTTCCCTTATAAATGTAAATTTCCCTTAAGGGTAACTTTGACTCTGTTTTCAGAGCTTCTCCTATGTGTGCTGTTTCTCAAAATAATGGACTCAAAATAACTCTTATGCCAAAGAGGCGTATTTTGGAATGGCATTTTCTGGTCTATGTGCAACAGGTACAAAGACAGAGTCCCCATGTGATGCAGAGAAGGCAGAATTCTGTTTGAGATGCAGGGTAGTGGGACAAATGGTTTCAGATGCAGACTCAGAACCAGCACTGAAAGACAGGCCTGCTGGGGGCTGTTTGGATGCTGGAGAAGCTCAAAGTGACTCAAAGCAGGGCCTTCCCAATTGACTTTATTTACTTTGCTTTTCCAGAAACGGGTTGCATATAACCCATGGAATGATCTAGTAGAAAGCTGAAAGCCAGAAGGAAGTGGACAGAGGAGAAAGGAGGGATGGAAATAGAGGGAATGAGGAGCCTGGGGAAAACCAAGGTGAGCGATATTCAGCAGTTTGGTGGATCCCATCAACATAGCTGAGACTGGTTGAGAGAAATGGAGCCCATGCAGGCCCCAGGCCAGTCAGTGCGACTCCTCCATAGATAGGACTTGGAAGATAGGACTTGGTAGAATGGAAGAATATCAACTTTGGCTTCAGCTCACCTGCCTGGGAACCTGGCTATGCTGCTCCAGGTATTTGGTTTCAAATTAGGAGAAAAGATTGTTATGAGGCTAGAATCCCACCACGAACCTAAGATTACTTAACATGGAAACTGGCAGTAGAAACTGCTCAAGAAATTTCAGTTTCCTTCCTTTGTCCATGAATAAACAATTGCATTCCCAGAGAAAATGCTCTTCTAAGAATTTAGATAGAAAATCATAAATTGTGGCCACCATTAGGGTCCTTGGCCTCTGCTCACTCCCTGGGGGGTGGGAGACAGCTTCCTGCACAACCTAGGAAAGCCCCATTGTTTTGGCCTCCCCCACACCAATCCCATTCCTGTAAATTGGGAGACAGAAACTGCCCCACCCACCATGATATTCTCTAATTCCAAAGTTATTCCCAAAACCCTCCAGATAAATGGAGAATGCCCAGTTAAATTTGAATTTCAACTAAAGAATGAAAAATGTTTTAGTATAAGTCTGTCTCAAATATTGCTTGGGACTTAATTCAAATTTAACAGAATCTCCTTTATTTTTTTTTCCTAAATGTGGCAACTCTATTTAATCATTTAACCATAATTTCTGTTTTTCTCAGTCTTAAGCCTAGGCTTCTGCTTCCCAGATTCTTGTAGCACCCTATGGGTAAAAAGAAAGATGGTGGCATCACCAGGTATTGACAAGGACGTGGGACAAATGGAACTCTCATCCATTACTGATGGGAGTGTAAATTGGTACCACCACTTGACAATACTGTTTGGCACTATCTACCAACCCTAGGACCCAGCAGTTCTACTCTAGGTGTAGACACAACAGAAATACATACCTCATCCACCTAAAGATATGTACAAGAATGTTCATAGCACTAGGATACCATTCCTAATAGTCCAAACTGGAAACAATACAGTGGTAGCATGGATAAATACATTGTTTATATCTATGTGATGATTTATTATATGTCAATAAGAATAAATGAATTATTGCTGTATGCTACATGGTTGCATCTCACAACCCTAATTTTGCACAAAAGAAACCAGACACAGAAGAATAAATAGTGCATATAATTCAACATGTGTAAGGCTCAAACACAGGCAGAGGCAGAGGGACTTCCTAAGAGAGTAAGGAGGGCTTCTGTGGTGCTGGTAAGGTCCTTCTTCTTGAATCAGGCTGTGGTACAAGAACTGTTCACTGTTAAATTCATCAATCATGCTGACGATTTCGGCACTTTACTGAATATATATTGCACTTCAGTTAGAGGTTTGCTGAGAGTTGAGGTCTATCCCGATGGGACTTTTTCTGTAGACCCACATGGTTGGAAACCCCTCCTAGAGTGTATGTGTGGTTTCCTTTGTTCACAGAACTATGTGTTAGATCTGTGGGAAGGAACTGCAAGACATCTATCTGCTAAAACTGTGAAAGACCTAATAGTCACATTTTTAAAATCTTAGGTATTGGTGTATCCCCAAAATCTGTACAACTCTAGGGTGTGATAGTTTAAGGGTGAGTATGATTTGAACTCATTCATGTTTAGAAGGTGTCTGAAACTGAGAACCAGGCAGATCCATCTACTCTGACCCTAAACATGGCCCTAAAGTAAAGAAATTGGACCCCAAAGATTACAGGTGGGGAATTTTTGAAGTATGTCCATATTCAAGTGGAGATCAAAGAAGTCCAACTGAAAGAAAGAACTCTACCGTATTGAACAAAAGTTCTTTTTAAAAGAGCTATTTTGAAGATTATGATTCTGACTTTGGAGGAACTATGGTGATTGGCAGTGGAAGGAATCACATGTAAAATTCCTTAAATAAAAATTTATTGACTTTAAATTTTAAAAAAAGTTTATTGAAAGAGAAAAAAAAGTAGAACTGGAGGGTTACACTGTCCACATAGGAACAAAAGCAGAAGGAAAAGAGGCAGGTGGGTGGGAGGGGAACGACTAGCAGGATGTGTCACACAGGGGAGGGATTTCAGAACAGGATGTGAACAAATCTATGGGGAAACCGGGGCATGTAATGATCCCTGAGTTCTAGCCTTTGAAACATGTGTGCTAGGAAGCAACGTGTTAGGTCCCATTCCTCACAAGGACTGCTTGTCTGGCTACCGTAGACCCTGGGAAACTGAATCAGACACCATTCGAACCCCTCCAGAAGCTCATGCTTCACGATGCCCTTGATGTTTTCGAACCATGGTTTCTCAGCACTGTTGTTGACATTTGGGGATAGAACATTATTTGTTGTTGGGGCTGTCCTGCGTTTTGCAGGATGTTTAGCAACATCTCTGGCCTCCACCCACTAGAATGACCATAGCACCTCACTCCCAATTGTGACAACCAAAAATATCTCAAGGCATTGCCAAATGTCACCTGGGGGGGGTGGTTCAAAATAATCCTGGTTGTGAACCAGTTAACTGAATGTGTATGGTGGAACTCTAGAGGAAGTTTTTGAATGACTGGGTTCAAGATACTAAAAATACATACCTAGATAAATACACACGAGCACACACATACAGACCGACAGGCATTCTAAAAGAAAGCAAAGTTAGTCACAAACTGTCCACTTCCCTATAGTTCCAATATTTGCCTGGGAAGGGACAACTTAAGAAATGCTTACCTTTCCTTCCCAAACAGGTCTTGCGCACTTTAGCTGGCCAAGATTCATAATCCCAGATTGAGAGACTCCTTGGAAATAAACGTAACAGTTTTGGAATCCCAAGAACTGAATTCAAATCCCAGCCCTGCCACTCTGTCACTATGGACGTGTGACTTACTTTCTGTTTCTTTCCCCTTCATCTGTGGCCTTGTGGAAGACATGCCTAATGTCCTCATCTATAAATTAAGGATGTTGGACTAGCGATCATGACTTTTCCTTGGCCCTGGCATGTAACCTCTTTGCCTCAGTTTTCATGTCTGCAGTAGAAGGCATCTTACCAGCCTTCATTCCCTGCGTGCTTCAGTCTGCTGGGAATATTAAAGGGATCAGTGTTAACTAGAGATCAAACAAGAACACGCTTTAGAAAGCAGAGTGCTCCTTGCAAGCCTAAACCATTGTCATATTGGCAACAGATCACACTCAGGTTTTCCAACCACTTTCCTGGCACTCAGACTCTCCGTAGACTATCTCTCTCTCATGTATATGGTGATTGGCAGTTTTCAAAATGTCTTCACATAACAGGATCTTACTTGATCCTGCCAAATACCAGCAATGACTTCAGTCCCGGCTTTCAGATTCCTACCCCATTGCTCATTTTATCTACCACACTGTGTTAGCTTTCTGGAGCTGTGATCCCAGGCACGGCCCCATACTATGAATCAGGCATAAGACCTGCTACTTAATGACATTTAGCCTCAAATAGACACAGGGGTGCATATATCAGCTCACTGACATACAGGAAACACAGTGTTGAGTAGACATGGTCTATTGACCTACTCTCATCACAGTAACACAACAACCGATGAGGGCTACTACACTCATTTTAAAGATGTCAAAACTGAGGCACAGAGAAGTTAGTTTACTTGTCCAAGAACACACAGAGGGTGGAAAATAAATTTGAACGCAGTTCCTAATCACAATCTAGATCCTGAAGAGTCAAAGTGTGGGCCAGATACCAGCAGGACTGGCACCCCTGCAGAGCTTGTTAAAAAGCAAGCCTCAGGTCCCATTCTGGACCTATTGAATTAGGTTCAATGCTCTAAAAGGATACTAAGTGAGTCCTGTGCACGGTGTAATGTGAGAACCACAGCTGCTCGGTGTGGATCCATCCACACAGAGAAGCACACAATCTATAAATAGACATACAACACATGCACACAGACATACAACACATGCACACACACATACAGTATAAAAATATACTTCTAAACATCTTACTTTAAGAAAGGGAATTTACGGATTGAAAAACAAGCGGCAAGAGTCCCTGTGTTAGATTAGGAATTAAATTAATTGACTTAACACACACAATACAATTTAGGATAGATGTGATTTGTATGTGGGGCAATTGCAGCAGATGCCCATTTCAGGATTCCTATCAGAACTGATTCTCCAGCCTGCTCACTGGCATTTTTTTTCAAAGATTTTATTTATTTATTTGACACAGAGTGAGAGGGAACACAAGCAGGGGGAGCGGCAGGCAGAGGGAGAAGCAGGCTTCCCGCTGAGCAAGAAGCCCAATGCAGGGCTCGATCCCAAGACCCTGGGGTCATGACCTGAGCTGAAGGCAGTCGCTTAACCAACTGAGCCACCCAGGCGTCCCTGCTCACTGGCATTTTGTTTTTACACCAAACACAGCAAATTTTATACTTACTGTAAACTAGTGACCACAACAAATAGATATTTCCAGGGCTGTACAAAGGGTAATGAAGTGCTGGAAGAATAGTTAAGATAGAGTCTTTGCCCTGGAATAATTTTTAGGGTTGGGGTCTTGAAAAGAACTTTAACATAGTTTTCCGTTTGGGTACGTTGGCTAAACTGATTTGTGTGGTTATGTGAATTTTTTCACCCAAAGCATTGATTCTTCTAAGAAGTAATTTTCTATTAAGAATACAGCCTTACTGGCATATTTTTCTTTTCTTTCTTTAATGATACACACGCAGCAGGAAGAGCTATATGTACCTTTCGTGTCATGCTTTTCCCAGTATATATTTTGAAGGCATTGGATCATTCATCCTTGAGGCCGGAAGTATATCTATAACATTCAGTATCGAACAACACATTACCTGTGCAATTTATTCAACTTTGGTTTTGTTGAATCATGTGCCCACTCTGAGTGGATGATAGTAGGAAAGATATCATAGTCCTCCTAAATAATCAGAGAGGAGAAAGACCTTTGGACTCCAATGAAATGTTTACTAGCCCCATAGTTTCAACCATAATTCCTGGTGCAAGGTGACAGTAATTATAGCGCCTTCTCAATCTGTTGGTTTTCCCTTTGTGTCATAAAGCAGGTTCTTGATAATAAATATTAGAGTCAGCCTTTTAAGGCGGTCAAAGTGCCCTGGCTTATATTATTCCATAATACCTCCACCCCATTTGTAGGGACTCACCTGGTGGGGGAATCAACTGATCACAGCCACGATCTCAGTGGAGACAAAAATCAATCAGGAAAAGGAGCAGGGCAGGGGAAGAGCTAAGAAGACCGACTGGTAAGGGCTGAGCGAGAGGGAAATGACCTGTAATCAGTGGTCCGCAGAGCTGTCTGCATCACAGTCGCCTCTTAAAACTTTTACTCGCCCAGGGTCCACCCCAGCTACTGAATCAGAATCAAGTATGTGTGTTTTCAACCAAGCACTAAGGACGAGCCTAGTGCAGTCAGGACTGAGATACACTCCGGGGGCATCTTTGATTGGGGCCCTCCCTGACGACAGGGAGGGGCAGGTGGACCGATAATGGGGCCGGATATTCCTTCCACCTGGCTACGGGAAGTGTTAGAGGTGAGCAGGGTCGAAGGCTACAAAGCACAGCATATGGTTAGATATGAAGTAGTAAGGAAGAAAGTTTTAACATTAACCCTTGTGAAACCTAACACATTATCTCCCTTGGGAGTTCTGGAGACTTCCAGGAGACTTCACTTGATCGCTGGATGATATCTGAGAAGTATATAGGCACCACTTTGTTTGAGGGACACTATTTCTTAGTGGTTTTGCAACTACTGGATTTTTCTGTGGAAGCTTGAAGTCCACCCCTCATTTTTTTTTTTTTTTTCAGATTCTGGCCTGACAATTTCACAAAAAGAAGTTAATCTTTTTTTTTTTTTTTTTTTTTTTAAGTAACCAAGGACATCTGTTAAAACTTTAGCTTTCAGGATACCACTAGCAATTATGGAATGAGGACTGACATTATCTAGAAGCATCGGTGTAAGGACAACTTTTTTGGAGAAGTAAAGAACTCTATCTCACGAAGTTCTTAAGGGGCAATTGAGATATGTCTATGCAATAGCTTTGTAAAAGTCATTACAATCTCTATTAAATAAAACACCTCATGTGCAAAAAAGACGTTGTTCAGGATGGTTATCTTGAAATAGAAAAAAAAATCTTGCTGATAAAAAGAAAAAAGGGATCGGAGAAAGGGGCAACAAAACCCCCCAGAAAACCTGTGGAAGGAACCCTCACCCCACTTCCTTGCTGTTTCTCATTACCAAGTATCGACAATAGTCCGGAAATGTCTTGCTAAGTCCGTTGAGGGTGGCCACCCCAATCAGGAGAAGTGTGATGAAATGTCTTCTCGACCGGGGTCTACGTGCCATCCAACCAATACTGGTAGGTGTTTAATACCTTTTCGATTTTGTTTTCACAGGCAGTGCCCTTTGGAACTTAGCCTTAAAAATGAATCCAGTCGTTTCGCAGCCAGGATATGGTACAGGAGGTGTGATGAATAGTGACTGGCAAACTGGCACATTTGACTGCTTTGATGACCTGGGGATTTGTAAGTGCGCCTAATTATTGCTCCTCCTCAACTCCCAGAATGCAGGTTCCTGACCTAATAAAACTCATCTACTTTTCCTGTCGCTGAGCCCCCTGCTCTACTGTCCAACTCGGAAGTCACGAGCTGCAAGCCCATGGGTGGATTCAGCCACCGGATGTGTTTTGTTTGTCCCGTACATGATGAACTCGCTTCTTGTAGTAATTTAAAAAATACAAGGAAACATATGAAAATAAGATTTCACATAAAAATCTGGCTTTCCAATCTAGATTTCCAACTCCTCTCAAAAACTGGAAAATGTGGAAAGATGAGCCTTCATCACACACGGCAGAGTTCAGCTGCTGCTTCGCATGAGCTAATCCCATTAAAGGAGATTCTCATTCTACAGTTTGCCGTATTCATTTATGCCCGCTATTGGCTATTTTGTGTTTTTCTCCCGTCTGTTGCACTCATTTTACCTGCATGACCTTGAGTTTGTGATCCTGGTCGAGATCCATCGCCATCCGCCATTTTTCACCTCTTAGTATCACCGTGCTCTTGACACATGCTCCATCTTGTCTTCTACTTACCTCTCCCTTTTCCGACAATGCCGTTCTGTGTTTTCCATCTTTCAGTGCCATTCTAGCAACTCTTGTCACTGTTCCATTTCAGAAAGCACTGCAGGCTTCTACTTCTGTCCCACTACAAAACACACTTTGGTGTGAGAAGTTTTTTATTTCAGAGTCTCCTGCCATACGGGTTGTAGACATTCTCTGTGGGGCTCATCTCGACATCATGTGTGAGAAACAGCCTCCTTTTTTTGTGTATGATGGAAGTGCCAGGTTCTTTGGAGATAGCCTTTTGCTTAGAAACAATCAATCAGGGCGCCTGGGTGGCTCAGATGGTTAAGCGTCTGCCTTCGGCTCAGGTCATGATCTCAGGGTCCTGGGATGGAGTCCTGCATCGGGCTCCCTGCTCCTTGGGAGCCTGCTTCTCCCTCTGCCTCTCTCTCTCTCTGTCTCTCATGAATAAATAAATAAAATTAAAAAAAAAAAAAAAGAAACAATCAATCAAAAACCACTGACTCTCTTATCATATCTAGGGTACAGCCACACTGCAACTCCACCCCAGCACTTTTCAAAATAGACTTTTACTCAAAGCATATTTGAGAACAGTTTCCTGTTTGTTGTTATTTTCTTGGGCCCTTTCTGTGCCTTGCAGAGACTCTTTAAAGTGAAACTGTGCTCAACTTTTTAAACAACTGATACCAATATCCCTTAATTTCTGCTTGCTTCCATCCTCATAAGGATGATAGAGTCCTTTTGCCTGAATGACCTTCCAGAATCTATTTCCGCTCTTTGTCCTTAATGATTCTTCACTCAGTGCTTTCTGACCCTCAACCCCCTCCCATGGTTTTCCGAGGGCTTCTCAGACACCCTGACGCCACAAACTTCCTCCCCAAGCATGACCCAGACGTAACAAGGGCAGGGAAGAAAGATAACGTGAGCACGCTCAGATTGGCAAGGCAGGAGCTTCTGCAATTAAATCGGACCTGATACAATGACTCACAAATTATCCCCAATTCCTGGATAGAGGGCTCTAGCAGCAAGACATAAGGAGCCAGATGACAACATTGTTTTCTCCGAGGGCCCGTGAAAGCCATTTCCTGAGCCAGCATCTTTGTGAAAGAGGTGTGATGTCGTTGAAAGCATGATGCCTTTCACTAACTCTTCTGTCTGGCTTCCCCCCTGCACTCAGGCCTCTGTGGGACTTTCTTTCCCTTGTGCCTTTCATGTCAGATCGCCTCTGACATGAACGAATGCTGTCTGTGCCGAGCGAGTGTCGCTATGAGGACCTTGTATCGGACGCGATATGGCATCCCGGTGAGTCGGCCGCGCGCACCGGGACACACACGCCGGGACCCCCAAGGGCTCCCTTCGAGCTGACTGCATCTGCACGATTGCCCCCCTCGCCTTCACGGCTTGACCCTAATCTTCTCTCTACTCCCATCCTAAATTTTTGAAGTGATTGACAGGGGCCGCGCGGCTGCCCATACCGTGGAACGTATTAGTAATAGTATCTTCTGTTGTTCCTGTAGAGGTGTCTCTGAAACGGTTGCTGGAGGTGAGCAGGTGAGGAATGGAGAGCCCTTAGCCTCTCCCCGCTTTGCTCAGCCGGACCCAGGACCCTGCAAATCTGCAGGCTGGACGATAGTTTGTTAGAAAGCCTTGGGGAGAAAATGGGTGTGTGGTAGATCCCTTCCAAGCTGGTACATCTGCCTCATAAGCCAGTGTTCCTCCATTCAAAAGGGATTATTGAGCATCTAGGCTCTGGCTAAGTCATAAACTGGTATTCATTCATTCAACAGAGGTTTGTCCCGAACATCAGACATGCCCAGTACTATTCCCGATGCTAGAGGCACCTCAGTTAACAAAGCAAATCAAAATCCCTGTCTACATGTAGCTTACATCTTGTTTCTTGTTTTTTTGAGACCTTTAACATAGTTTCAAACTTAAAGAAAAGTTGCAGAAATAATAAATGGGGTGGGGGGAGGAGAAACGATGCAAGGAATTCCTGAATATCCTGCACCCACATTCCCCAAATACTAAAATCTTGCCATCTTTGTTTTATTTACTCTTTCCTCCACCTATTTGTCTATCCTTTTTTTCTGAAACATTGATAGGAAATTACAAACTTGTTGACCTATTACCTTTATTACATCATGTATTTCTTAACAAGGACATTCATTTATATAACCATCATACAATGATCAAAATCAGTAATTTAACACTGATACAGTACTATTAGCTAATTTGTGGATCTTATTTAAACTTTACCAATTAACCCAATAACATTCTGTGGATGAGAAGAAAATCAATCTGGGATCACACATCGTATTCAATTGTCCTTCCTCTTTAGTTTCCTACAATAAGGAATAGTTTCTCAGTCTTTCGTTGTCTTTCTTTTCCCCCCAAATACAGATCTGTTATTTTGTAGACTATCCTTTCAATTAGTTGTGTCAAATGTGTCCTCATGGTTAGACTTAGGTTTTACACTTCAGCAGAACCTCCGTAGAACTGATGCAATATTTGCTGTGCTTCCTGTCAAGAGGCACATAACATCAGTGTATCCCATTATGGTTGTTGTTTACTTTGATTACTTAGTTAAGGTAGTGTCCACCAGGATTCTCCACTGTAAGTTTGCCATTTTCCCCTTTAAAAGAGTAAGGACCATGTAGAAAGATGTAAATATCCTATTGCTCATCAAACCTTCACCCACTGAGATTAACATCCATTAAAGCTTCTCACCTGAATTAGTTATTACTATGATGGTTGTCAATGGTAGAGCTTACACTCTAATAGGAGAAGATTGCTACACTGTAACTAAGTAAAAACCTTACAGGATGCTGATAAGTGGTACAGAAAAAATAAAGCGAAGAAGAGGAATAAAGAATGTTGAAGGTTCTAATTTTATTTTATTTTTTTTCAGCATCATAAAATATATTTTTATCCAAGCAAGGTTCATCCCGGGAATGCAAAGATGGCTCAATATCAGAATACTCTATTTACAGATTCAAAAAGAAAAACCATATGATCATCTCAGTTGATGCAGAAAAAAAGTTCAACAAAATTCAATGCTCATCCACATTTTTAGAAAGGGAGTTCTACTTTTAAATAGGGTTATCAGGAAAGGCCTTGGTACAAAAGTGAAAGGATGAGAAGATGACCCATCTGGGGAAGAGCCAGGCGGAAGAAAGAGTGTCACCCAAGGCTTTAAAGTAGAGTTTATCTGGAATGTTCCAGAAACTGCAAGGGGCCAGAGAGGCAGGAATAGAATGAGTGAGAGGGTGGGGGTAGGATGTCGTAGAAAAAGATGACATTAGAGCAAGATTTAGAAATTCTAGGGCCTTGAGAAACCATTATAAGGACTTTAGCTGTTACTCTGAGTGAGCAGGGAAGCCACTGAAAATGTTTTAAACAAAGAAGTGACATGATGGATTCTTTTCCTGGAAACATAGCCTCTGCCCCACTCACTGCTCCCATTGCAACAGGAGCAAGTTATTAATCTCCCTAAGCCTTGACCCCCTCACTGCTAAATGGTCACAACAATACCTCCCCTTTAATGGGGTAGCAAGAGTCATGTGAGATAATGTGTGGGAAGGGCTTAGCACAGGACCTGGCAAGTAATAAGTGCTCATTAAACAATCACTTTTATTTTTATTCTTTTCTCAGAGAATTACTCAGCCATTTCCTCAGGGCAGAGGTGTGTTCAGGGCCCTGGCCTCATTTCTCCTGTGTGCTTGCTCAGCTACCTGACTTGCTCAGCACTCAAGGCTGCTCTCATTCATGCTACTCCTAAGGCAGCATAACACACAGGGGTTCTTAACTTTATGCCTGGACCTTGAATTTCCTGAATTGTATGCAAAGTGTCATGCATGTGTACTTATGTGTATGGTGTGATGGTAAGATTCTCAAAGCAGCCCAAGACCCCAACATGGTGTCTAGGAAGGGGCACTTAGCTGGATCCTGGAGATAAGACTTTGGGAACAGCTCAGCCTGTTCTCTGATAAATCATGTAGTGGCATCAGTTTTCTCATCTGTCATGAGGAAGTTGTACAAGATGATTTCTAGGTCTAGGATTCTAGATATAGTAGGTTTCCTTAACATACAATGAAGCAGTATATTTATAGACAGTGTATCTCTATTTCCTCCTTAGAACAGACCTAAAAATAATTCCCAGGACTGATTTGTATCACTCAGGCTCTCTGTTTTCTTTCCCTTGCATATCTATGCAAATCTTTATGAGACTGCTACAATGCAGCCTCTCTGATCTGCCCCTCCCTTCATGAATACAGCCAAGAGAGCATCCCTTTGGCCAGGGCATAACCTGTGCAGGAGAGAAGGAGGAAGAAAAGAGACAACCACTGATTGTACTACCATGAGCTGGGATATTATTCTGACATATATTTGCTCATTTACTACTTGCAAACTCTTGTGGTGTGGAAATTGTTACCTCCTTTCATAGATATGGATTGGCTCTTTGCCCCAAATGCTTACTCTGTTACATGACGATCAAAATCACTGTAGCAATGGAAAAAAAATTTTTTCATGAAAAATAAATCACTCATAATCTCACCATTTAGAAGCTCCTAACTATACACCACACCCCCGCCCCGCCCCGCCCCACAAGCTCACACTGTAAATTGGGAATTATATTAAACTCAACATTTAAAAACATAAGTGCTGTCAAATAATGGAGCTCAAATTTATTTCAATCTGTCAAGACATGCAGTAATAAAACCAGGTTATCAGACTGTAACTCCCTGGTTCCCTCAGTGCCTCCTGCACCAGAACAGGAACCCCTTCAAGGGTATGTCTTCCAGAAGGTCATTGAGGACCCAATTGGACCTTGCATTGAGAGGGCCCTCAAATCCTTGCAAAGTACCTTATTCCATGGCTTTCCAAACAATAGTCATTTTTTTCTTTCTTCTTTCCCCCATAATTTATGTATCTCCCCTTTGCTCCAAACTTCTTCCATTGCAGAACTTGAGAGATGTCAATGAAAATGGCTAGAGGGATACAATGTGGGGCCTCATCTGGCTCTCCTCACAAACTACAGAGAAATTGGTGCATTTCACAACAGGCTTTAAAGGGAAGCATCTCAGAAGAGATGTTAGAGGATGAGGGCTATAGTCATAACCTGCAGACCAGTTAAAATCGTGTCATATATGGTTAAAGGCACTGGCTTGAGAAAAGAAAGACCATGTGGCACTACCAATTTGTTATGTGTTCTGAACAAATCATTTACCTTCACTTGGATCATCAGAAAAATGGGGATAATGAGGATTCTCACGATAAACCAGGGACATAAAATGTACCTTTTAAAGAGTTTTGAAAAGCTATGCAAATGCAAGGACTTGTGAGACTATATTTATGGGCTGTATGTGGATCCACTGTTTGTTTTTTAACAGGGATCTATTTGTGGTGATTTCCTATGGCTGAGCTGTTTCCCTCTATGCAGCCTTTGTCAACTCAAGCGAGATATTGAAAAAAGAAAAGCAATGAATGCTTTCTAAAAGGTGCTTGGTAAGTTGGTGGGAATTCTTTGATTTAAGAGTATCAAAACAAATGCTCACTAACATCCTTTATTTCCTTGGTCCTCTCTCACAAATACATGAAACATCCCTTACAAAATGGAGGCTAAATGATTTTTAATTGCCAGCCTACATCAACAGTTGGTAGTCAGCTTCCATGGGTTGAGAGGGCTAAACCTGGAAGGATAGGAAAGAATTCTGAGGTTTGTTAGGTTGTCTGCCGTGTGACATACCAGTGAGCATGCCCCATATCAACCATGTGTATCTTAACTAGACCATGATTGGAGGTAGTCGAGATAGGTGTGTGACCAGACATTCATTTCCCAAAGTCTAGTTCCTAGGTCTGCTGCTACCAACACTAACCAATTGAGGTGTTATACTAAGTGTGACTGTGTAATGTGCCTAGTTCTGTGTTCTTTTTTTTTTTTTTTTTAAGATTTTATTTATTTATTTGACAGAGAGAGACATAGCAAGAGCAGGAACACAAGCAGGGGGAGTGGGAGAGGGAGAAACAGGCTTCCCGCGGAACAGGGAGCCCGATGTGGGGCTCGATCCCAGGACCCTGGGATCATGACCTGAGCTGAAGGCAGACGCTTAACGACTGAGCCACCCAGGCGCCCTAGTTCTGTGTTCTTGACAACACCAGAATGTTAGTATAATAATCCTTCCTCCAAAGCGATAGGAAGCTATTTTAGTCTCTATAAATTCAGTGTGGACATTTCACCCAGTTATCCAAAATTCCTAAAGCCCCTACTATGAAGAGGAGTTACTGACTTTTTGGTGGCTGTGTTGTCGAAGTTGGGTAGCTGCTCATTTACCTATTTCCTAGCTCCCCTAGTCACATTTTTAATCTTCTGAGTATCTGTTTCTCTCAGACATGTGGGTAATAGTTCACTTGTCCTTTCAGTCTCTTATTGCCAGTCCCCATGGAATTTGCAATCAGAGTTTAGTTTTCACCTGGAAATAACTATTATCTTTAAAATCCATTCTCCCAAGAGGTCTTTGGGAATGTTTGATCAGGATGGCACATTCATGTGTATAATAAGTTGTCACTGGCGCTATTTTGCCACATGCACCACAAAATGGTGTCTTCTTCACGAACATTTTAGTTCATTTCATGTTGCATTTTTGTATCCTAGCATTTGTCTTCTGATTGTTTCAATGGCTTCCTGGAATGACTAAAGTGCTTTACTCAGTTTCAGGCAGAGTCAAGATGGGGAGTTTTCTTATCATTCTTTTTCCTCCTTATATTCTACCTCCTGAGAATTGACTGTTGTCTCTCTTTCCAAGCAGTGACATTTGTTAAAAGTCCTATGTTAACAACCTGACTCAGAATTTGATGCCAAAGTAGCCCTAAGGGAAGGAGGATGTGACAGTTTACTGGTACAGTCAATGAAAAAGATTGTTTGGTGTTCTCTGCCTTTTGGAGACTCCTACCTTGGCATGGTTGATGACCCATTGACATTTGATAATAGAAGTTAACTCTGGCAGTCTACTGAGCATTCTATTGGTTCCCTCAACCACCTAACAACAATGCCTGACACCTAGTAGTCACTTAATAAATACTGTGGAAGAATAAATCAATGCAGTTTTCAAGCAAGGAAGCATAATGAGACGCTAACCTAGGGGACTCATCTGAATCTTAACTGCTGATTGTGACTCTTTCTAATAGATTGTACTGAACAAGGGGCCATGATTTGATGTGGATCTTAAATATGTAGCAATTTGGCAGTAAGAGATGGGTGGAATGGAAGTTTTGATATTTGGAACAAGATAATGTAAAGAAAGATGAAACTGATAAATCCTAATTTGTTCATTCATTTATTCTCTCCTTTTTTTTTTTTTTTTTCTGATTTCTACAGGTCACATTCACAATGTGGTGAAAGGAATGCTAGAATCACATACTGCATCTGTTGAGTACTATCTCACCCCAAATCTTAGAAACTAATTCAACTAATCATATGGTTTCCAATGGCTTCAAGACATTTTAAGTTTCTAGTTTATTTCAAAAGAAATACATTTCCAGTGCTGTTCTCTAATATGACTGCTATTAAAAAATTAATGTCCTCAACATTTCCTGTGTCTTTATTTTTTTAATTTAAATTCAATTAGCCAACATATAGTACATCATTAGTTTCAGAGGTAGTGTTCAGTAATTCATCAGTGTCTTTAAATACAGCTTTATGAAAAATTACAATATAATTTTTTTAAAAAATGAACCCAAATTTGTCAAAATGTTAAAGCTGAATGATGGGTACATGGAGAGTCTTTTTTTTTTAATTTTGAAAGGTTTTGGCTTTTTTTTTTTTTAAGTATAGTTGGCACATAAAGATTTCTTATTCCACTTTTCTATCTTTATATATGTTTGGAAATGTCCAGAATAAAAAGTGTTCTAAATGTTGTCAAGGCTTTTCTAATTTTAGTCTTTCCCACCACAGGTAGGCAAGGTATCGCCCTGTGTAATCCCTCACCCCAAGAGAGGGTGATATTTTATACGGTGACTAGCATAACATAATAAAAAAAAAGAAAAAAGAAAAGGTGGTATTTTGATCCACCTTGGGCCTCCCTTTGGGAGCCAGGATGGCATTTGGCACTTCTTACAACCCCATAAAGTAAATCCACTCCAGGAGTATTTGCTGGGCAATGCAGAGTTTACCATAGATTATATGGACCAAAGAGAGTATTTCTGTCATAAGCCACACAATTTCTAATTGAAATTGTCATTAGTCATTTCTATCCTCTGTAAAGTCATCTGCAGCAAGCCAGCCACAGGAACTCCACATACCTTTCTTTCTTTTTTATTTCCCCCCAAGGTTAATGTGGCATTTTTAAAAATTGAGGTATAATTGGGACATAGGTGTACAATATTATGGCGTGTGATACATGTACACATTGCAAAATGATCATCACAATAAGTTTAACTAACCTCTATCCCTGAACATAGTTACAATTTTTTCTTGTGTTGAGAACTTTTAAGATTACTCTCTTCACAACTTTCCAATATGCAATACTTTACAATATATAATACCATGCTGTACATTACATCCCCATGACATATTTATTTCATAACTGGAAGTTTTTACCTTTGACTCCCTTCACCCATTTCACCTTCCACCATACCCATCTGGCAACCACCAATCTATCTATGAATTCAGGTAGTTTATTTATTTATCTTAGATTTCACATATAAGCAACACCATGCAGTGTTTGTCTTTCACTGTCTGACTTATTTCACTTAGCTTAATGCCTTCAAGTTCTATCCATTGCTGTCCCAAATAACAAAATTGCCTTTTTTTTTAATGGCTGGGAAATATTCCATTAAATATATATATATATATATATATATATATATATATAAATATATAAATATATATACCACATCTTCCTTATCCATTCATCCTTCGATGGACCCTTAGATTATTTCCATAGTGTGAAGCACTATCTCACTGTAGTTTTGATGTGCCTTTCCCTAATGATCAGTGATGTTGAGCATCTTTTCCTGGGCTTATTGGCCATTTATATATCTTCTTTGAAGAAATGTCTTCAAGTTCTTCGCCCATTTTTGAATTGTGTTGTTTATTCTTTTAATGTTGAGTTTGAATTGTTCTCTGTATATTCTGGATATTAATCTCTTATCAGATATGATTTGCAAATATGTTCTCCTATTCTGTAGGCTGCCTTTTTCTGCCAAAGTAGTCTTTATCTGGGTGGGAAGATAGATTCCGGTGTTTCCTACTCTGGGCTCCAAGGGCTCACCTAAGTTTAGTCACAAACACTGTGACTAGGGAAAGGTACTATGGTCCATAATTCAGTCCTTACAACACCACAAAAACACCAGTGAGCATTGGCCTTAATCATCTGCCAAGAGGGGAGAGAAGACAATAATAACACAGCCACATATGTAGCCAGAGATCTGTTTATTTGGAATAAAAATGAGTAACAAGGGATATCTTCAGGAGCAATGAAGCCTGGCAGCATGGTGGACTTTGCCTGCAAAGTAATCCCTTGGGTTGTTTATTGGTTTCAAGAATTTTTGGCTGGTGATAGAGAAGAAGATTGCACAAGATTTCAGAATGAGGGCTGAATATTTGCATCTGGGGGTGAATCCAGACTTCTCCTTTTGTCACAAAGCCACAAACCTCAGAGAGGGCCTGGCAGAAGAATCACACACCCATGAGCTGGGGACATGGGCAGGTGAGAGACCATGTGATTTCAGCAGAAACAGCAAGTGGTGGGGCACCTGCTCTGAAAGCCACACAGCACAGAGTATAAGCTTAAGGATAAGCAAGGACACTTAAGAGTAATTCATTCAGTGCTACTTCTTGTCTTCAGAAATAACCTCAACACAGAACTGTTTAATGGAGAAAAATAAAAGCAGGTCCCCAGCAATCCTATCTTTCTCTCAGAGCTTTTTTTCCCATCTGCTCTTCTCCAACTCAGAGACCTCCAAAATATGGCTTTCTCTCTCCCTTTGCCTCATGCCATCTTATGAAAAATATCTCCCTGCTGTACTCCTTCCCCTGCCCACCATGTCTCCCAAACCACCACCAAGGAACCAGCTTCTATATTAACCAGTATATTTAACATCCTAATCTGATCTATTTGCCTTTGGACAACTTCATCAAAGTCCAGATATTCCCAAAGATAGTGGTGGCAGGGGGTGGATAGCAAAGGGGAGGATAGCAAAGGGGGACCCTGGCAGGAAGACTGGTCTTATATTAGTATACCCCAAAATGTTCACCTCGTTGTTCAACTTTTGTTTTATTGATTAAAATAAAATATAAAGATGTATTTACCTGAGTCCCTGAAGCTGATGAATCTCTAGTTTTAAATTTGAGAACAGAAACCAATGTGCTTTCCCCTAAAGGAGTATCCCTTTATGCTCCTTTAGTCACTATCTCAGCACTATCCCAGTCCCACTCTCAGGATACAGTGCATACCAAGTCTTTTCAGTCTGGCCTACACCAACCCAGGAAAGGCTGGTGAAGGGAAATACTTCCTGTTTTGTGTGTTTAGGTTCAGATATGACTATTATTTACATTTAAAACCAAACTGGTTTCCCAGAGTCGAGAGTCTCATATGATTTGTCTTCTCTGATTTCTTCCCATTCAGTTTCCCCCCTACCCCTATTGCCCTCTGCACTATTCCTTATATTCCACATATGAGTGAAACCCTATGATAATTGTGTTTCTCTGATTAGCTTGACTCCGGGAAACAAACTGAGGGTTGCAGAAAGGGAGGTGGGTGGGGGGATGGGGTAACTGGATGATGAGCATTAAAGAGAGCACATGATATGATGAGCACTGGGTGATAAACTAATGAATCATTGAACATTATATTAAAAATTAATGATGTACTATACCTTGGCTAATTGAATTAAAAAAAAAAAAACACAGGTGCTTCTGAGCACTCTAGCCCTGCATGTTAAAGATATGCTTTTAAAACACCTGATGATTAGTTCAAATCAAGGAACTACCTTTTCTTTCTAAAACTGAAAACAAAATTGTTTCTCCCAGAACAAAAGAAGAATCCTCCCTACAAATTTGCAATTTTCACTGAGTGCAAAAATACAAATTTCTGGCAGTTAAAGGATAGCTATTTTTTAAATGCTTCTAGCCTTCAAGAGTACGTAGGTCAAGGGGTGCCTGGGTAGCTCAGTTGTTAAGCATCTGCCTTCAGCTCAGGTCATGGTCCCAGGGTCCTGGGATCGAGCCCCGCATCGGGCTCCCTGCTCAGAGGAGAGCCTGCTTCTCCCTCTCCCACTCCCCCTGCTTGTGTTCCCTCTCTCGCTGTGTCTCCCTCTGTCTCTCTCTGTCAGATAAATAAATAAAATCTTTATTTAAAAAAAAAAGACTACGTAAGTCAGAACTCTGAGAGACACAATCAAGAAAACTATACAGTAATGAATTAGTTTGGGGGTAGGGGGGAACTTTTCCCTTCTTAGCTGGCTTAATAATTAAATTGACATAGATTAACAGAAGAAAAGCAAATTTAATATTATATATACAGGAGTTCTTGAAAATGTGAGACTCAAAGAAGTGACCAAAAACAGACAGCTTTTATACTTTTTAGACAAAATAATAATAATAATTAATAATAATAATAATAATACATTTGTGAAGAATCAACAAGACTGATATATACCCCTAGACTTCCTATGAAAAAAGCCTATCTACTTGACCTGGAGCCTTAGCAGAGGGGCAGGCTTCAGGTTTACCACACGTTGAGAGGATACAGAAGCGCTCTCAGGGAATGCAGTTTGGGGGAATGCCATTTTTGAGCTCTCATCTGGCTTTACTATAGCTTCTCCCAGAAAGGAGCTTACTTGTCTAGAGCCCCAAATTTTGCAATTGTCACTAAGGGGACACTTCTAGATCATTTGGACTGGAGACTAGCATGGTCTACAATTATAGTCTCACAGCTATATATATTTGCAACCTTAAGGATCTAGCTTCCAACTAGCCTGAAACTAGGTGCTGACTGAGATCCCTTCCTCTGAAACACTCACAGGTCTCAGCACATTCTCAGCAACTGGAATTTATCAAGAATAAATCAGACTGCTTAGGCAATCACAAAAGATTAAGAGACATCAAAGAGCTAGGGCAAGGTTAAACTGCTTTATCTCCTACATAAGGCCACTCCTGCAAGACTAGAAGAGAGAGCTGTTTTGCCTAATACATAGAAGCAACATGAGAGTCAAGCAAAATGAAGAAGCAGAGAAATATGTTCCAAATAAAATAAAATCCCGGAAAAAAACTTAATGAAAGAGAAATAAGTAATTTACCTGATAAAGCATTCAAAGTAATGGTCATAACCAAGCTCACCAAATGCAGGAGAAGAATGGATGAACACAGCAAGAACTTGAACAAAGAGATTGAAAATATAATAAAGTACCAAATAGACATCACAGAACTGAAGAATACCATAGCCAAACTGAAAAATACAGTACAGAGTTTCAACAGCAGACTAAATGAAGCAGAAGATAGAATCAGTAAGCTAGAAGACAGGGCAATGGAACTCACCCATTAGAGCAACAACAACAACAAAGAATTTTTAAAAGTGAAGA